CGGCAGGCAGACTCTCAACCACTGCGCCACCAGGGAAGCCTGAAAAATACTATTTTACTTAGACCGTATTTGAAATTAACTGCTGGGGACAGGAATAAAGACACAGATGTAGAGAATGGACTTGAGGACATGGGGAGGGGGAAGGGTAAGCTGGGACGAAGTGAGAGAGTGGCATGGACATATATACACTACCAAATGTAAAATAGGTAGCTAGTGGGAAGCAGCTTCATTGCACAGGGAGATCAGCTCGGTGCTTTGTGACCACCTAGAGGGGTGGGAGGGAGATGCAAGAGGGAGGGTATATGGGGATATATGTATACGTATAGCTGATTCACTTTGTAATACAGCAGAAACTAACACACCATTGTAAAGCAATGACACTCCAATAAAGATGTTAAAACAAAAACAAAACAAAACAAAAGAAGTTAACTGCTGGTTCTCCTGAGCTGGTAATTACTCATGAGCATTGACATAAACGTTTTTGTTCACATAACTGCGTCAAACCGTTCTCCTTGCTACCATGTTTTATACTCTCAAAGTTTTAGGACCAGACAGGCCCTTAGTAATCACCTATCCAAACTCTTCATTCAACTGATAAAGAACTTCAAAACTCAGGTAGCAAAACGACAGGCCACACAGCTTGTTGTACTGGAATCTGGATGTCTGGACACCCCCTACCGCCAAATTTAGCACAATTTCATGACCTCACACAACTTCTGAAATATTGCTTTGTAAGCTCTTTCTCAGAATACAGCCTGAGAGATAAACTTAGTCTGCAGTATCAAGAATTCCAAATGTGTAGCATCTGAGTCGATGCATTTTCACTGCACAGTGAAACTGAACCTAGCATATCTGGGCCACAGGATGCATGTGAGAAAAAAAAAAAAAAAACACCACCACCACCACCACAACACAACCTAGTGCAACTAACTCAGAGCCTGGCACACAGCAAATGCTCAGAAGATATTTTGGGAAGGATGGAGGAGAGGTAGAGAGAGGAAAGGAAAAGAGAAGAAAGAGATGCTTGGGTCCAAAGCCGCCCGCAGCTGGATTCCGACAGGCTCAGGAGGGATGCAAAATTCTTCTTGGGGGTCAGGTGCTCTTTAGTGCAGGAAAACATCTTAATGAGTTTTTCCTTCTACCTTTTGTTTGTAAAAGGTGAGGCCTAAAGGGCAAGGAGTGAAACAAAAGGAGTGAGATAAAGATAGCTATAACTGTTCTGCATAATAAGGTAGAGGGAGCGGAGTTCTTTTCCTGGCTGCTATAAAAAGGAGGAGAAAAAAAAAAAGAAAATTTTAGGACACTAAAAGGAACTTTTGGGAAGGAAGTGGATAGAGACCTGTCTGGTGACCAGAACCTCACCTCAGGAGGACTTGTATTCAGGTACTTCCTGTACTTGGCTGCAATCCTTCTGTGATTCCCTAAACCTTAGTAACAACTGCTACTCACGAATCCTTGGCATTAGGGACTCGCTGGGGAGGAAGGTAAGGGATGTCCAAGGCAGGGGTTGCGGAGCAGGTACCGAGAGAGGGAGGACAGCAGTTGCCAGATGCGATATTGACTTGGGGGTGTTGAAAACACAACAGAAGCATGACCGTGAGGCAAGAGGTGACCAGGAGCAAGCAGGCCTGCTGAAAACCACTGGCAGGGGTGATCTGCTGGCTTTTCTACAACATGTGGGATGGGGGCGGGAGCCTTTCTATTGATATCTTCCCATTGCAGGCAGGCGTGACTCTAAACTGATGCAGTAGGTCTGGGTGGGCCTGAGATGGTGCATTTCCAGCAGGCTCCCAGGTGGTGTCGACGCTGCTGAACCCGGGACCATACTTTGAGTACCTTTAGTACCCATGAAGCCTCTGCGCCAATCAGGCAGTTTCCCGCAGGCTGGTCTCTTACCTCATATTCCTCCTTGAACCCGTAGCCCTGGCCTCTCTTCATCTGAGTGATGTGCTGGAGCAGGTCAGCCACCCGGATGGCGGGCTGGAACTGGTCCCGGGGATAGCTCATCTCCACGGGGTCACAGGCCCGGTAGGGGTGAGTCTGGATCGTGAGGGTGGGCTGGGACAGCTCCCCACGGCTGCCATCTGCTTCAAAAAGAAGGAGGGAGAACAGACCATCACCTATAGGAGTTTTGTCCTCTGTCCTCTGTGCCTCCCCTAGGTTGACCTCAGGAGGGCAGAGGGAACTAACTCAGGACTCAGCTGATCAGGGAACTGCAGAAAGAATAAAGAAACATGGTTTCCCTGGCGTGGCGGTGGCGGTAGATTTAAACATGAAAACAACAAACAAACCAGTGACACAATAACCCTTGGTTCGTTTCTACTTCAAGCGTGCATCTGGATGGAGTAAAGACAGGGTTCCAGGTTGGCTGTCATGTCCTGCCTGATTCTGTCCTTCCTTCAGGCTTGTCAGGGTGGTCTCAGGCAATCCAGGCCAATCCCAGAACCAGTGAGAAGCCAGGCAGGATGGATACTAGGAGTACCCTCCTGTTGAGGGAGCAGACTTCCTGGAATCGTCTCTGGTGCCTGCCTACAGGTGAGGAGAGCCTCAGGTCCCTGGAGATCAGAGCCATGTGTCTGCTTCTGGTCCATTTGCCTGCATCCCCGTGTGACCTGGTTTCTCTACTAGTTTGTTTCCTTTGGGTCATACACTGGGAGGAATTGGAGCCAGTCCTGGATCCGCAGTAGATAGCAGAGACCCTGACCCTCTCAGCTGCTCTCCAGCTATGGGCTCTGCAACAATGATCACCTTCTGCCTACTGTCTAGTTTCCCCAGAATTTAACACTCTTAATCCAGGAGTGATGCTGAACCTACCTTGCAGGTGGGGAAGCCTGAGCCTCCTCCTTCAGTCCTGACAGCTACTTCTCCCAGGCGTGGGTCCTACGCCTCATGTCCTTCATACATCTATCCTTGGTATAAGATCTATAATCTCTCCTGATAATAACCTTTAGACACACTGAATTATGTTAACTGCTCCCTACTAGTTGGGCCACCCTCAAAACTGATGCCTGCTTAGGTTGGAATTTGAATTCCTCTGCTCCCCTTAGACCAGTAAAACCACTTTCTTACCCTATGAACTCCCTGCCAGCCATACACTGTCAATCTTTCAGGGCCAGTTCGTCTTACCCAGAACCATTCAGGCTTGGTCTCCCCAACCTCCTCCCAAAGACATGGACAGTCTATGCTCTAGACCCTCCTGTTTGTGGCATGCAGAAGATGAGCACTGCCAGATCTGATGTGTCTCACCCGGATGTTTTCAGGCACTGCAAGGGACCAAGGCAGACCCCACGGGGCCTAGGCCACACTCGTTCCCTGGGAGTTCTAGCATACATTCCTCATTTTCTGCAACTTGTCTTTTCAAAATCCACGTATCTTTCAGCTTGTTTCTCTCTGTCGCCATAATCCATCAAACACTGATTCTGTATGTAAAAGTGAACCTTCCTCCTATGTGACAGCATGAGCAAAACTCTTCCTAGTAAGGAAGGATTGCCAACAGAAGGATCTAGAATATATAGGTTTATGCACCAGGAAGAAGGGCCTAGGTGAGACGTAAGCACAACTTTTCTGACAAGCATGAGAAAAATACTGCTGACTTTTCTCCTGGGATCTGAGGTAACAGGTGACACGTCTTCACTGGCGTTGCTTAAACATAGAGCTGGCAAATGTAGGCACAGCTTCCCTTCTCCATCACACCCTTGTGATCAGGAGTTAGATTTACTGAGACCCCACTCTGTTCCAGGGGCTCTGGTAGACACTGGAAATGCACAGAATACAGGTTTCACCCTCAAGGCTGGGTGGTCTAGTATAGGGTAGACAGACAAGAAGAACCACTGGAAGCATGAGCGGAGAAGCTGGAAAAGCCAAGCACATCTAGGTAAGCGCAAGGAAGATATGATGGAATGGAGGTAGAGGGTGGAAATACGATGGGGGTAAAGCCGTGAGACACGGTGTGAGGTCAGCCTAGAAAGGTGTGAATGTCTTAAGAATCTTCAAGCCAGTGGGAAACCACTGAAGGATTTTCAGAAGACTCCTTGTTAAAGACTCATGCTATTTCTTGTAGGCGTCCCAGCTGCCATGGATCTGAGGCCTCCTTCCAGTGAATATCACTCATGGGGATGGAGAAAAAAGGAGCACTTGAGTTTGCTTCTCTAGATGCTGCACTTCACGATTCCCAGGACAGGATGAACCGGAGTCAATGCCTGGAGCTCTGTGAGTGTCTCCCACCTAAGCCACTATCATATATGGTGACAGATATCTTCAGAGACCCACGGGCCTGGGACCTGGGCTGCCTGGGAGACCAGCTGCCTGGCAGAGATAGGCTCCTCAGGAAAGAGCATCTGACAACTTCTGTGAGATGCCAAGTGTTCCCAAAACCAAACAGCTACCAATATGGATATTTTCCTCTAAACACATTGCTAGACAGACTGTAAACTTGGTGTCAGCAAAACCAACACTGGAATGGAAAACAAACGTGTCTGAAATTTAGCAACTTGTATTGCTGTAACATTTGTAATAATGTCAGTGCTGGTGCTAATGATGCTATGAAGACTCGGAACCAAGGGAGTTTCAAGGTTTATTAATTCAACTAGTTGGACTCCCTTTTCCAATGTATCTTACTTCACCTATTCCCTATTAACCCCTGCTAATGCAGAAGTGATGCCTTTTATCACACCCCATTTCACCAGACCCACTATACTTAATTTTCCATCATTAGGTTTAATGAAAACCCAATTTCACAACTCACTTCTCTCAGGAACCTACAAGTAATGCTACATTTTTATCAGCCCCAATTAAAAATCGTTGTGATGTTCCTTTTCGAGAGGGAGGCTTAAAACTAATGTGTGATTCTGCTGCTAATTCAGCAAGGGTGCTGGAATCCACGTGCTGCTCGTAAAATGTAACTCAAACCAGCTGGCCCAGGGAGAGAACATTTTTCATTTTTCTCCTCACCAGACCCTTAATTTTCATGCCATTTCAACTGCTCATTTATAGGCCTTACATGTTTATTTGTCACATAATAATATTTTGGATTTCTTTGGCACCTTTTCTATAGCTGTTGTCTAAGGCTGTGAATTCCCCCGCAATGTGTCGTGTTGCTGCCCGTGAAGGGATGCTAGCGCGAGCAGAGGGATTATGGTGACGTGTATGAGATGCCAGGTCACCACCGTCCCTCTGATTTCCTCTTTTCTGTCTCTCTGCCAGTCGCTTTTCCTTCTTCCTTGGGAACCTGGTTTTGACCTTCTCTTTCTTTTTTATCCCCCTGCTACCAAGCCATTAGAGATCTCCCACTAGCAACAGCCACATATGTCCAATCACTTGCTAGGAACTGCCACTCCAGCCGGTTAACAAATATTTACTGAGTACCTACAGTGTACAAAGCACAGTGTTAGATATAAGCACAGACAGGAGGGTGGAGGAAAGTGTGTTCAGAGGGAGATACACTGCCACAGCCCTTGCAGGAGAGAAGAGGAGATAAGATGTGCATAAACATGTCTGACAAAGGTGGAACAGATGGGCTCCAGGAGGTGGGAGGATAACGTGTTGCAGAGTTAGGCACCGTGGAAACATCGCCCAAGCTTTAGGCATTCACGCCCCAGTTCTGTGGTTTTTGCCATCACTGTGTACAACCTGTACCAGCCCTGTCCAATAGAACTCTCCACAATGATGGAAATGGTCTGCATCTGTGCTGTGCAATATGGTAGCCACTGAACACATGTGACTACTGAGTGTGTGAAATGCGGCTAATGTGATGGGCAAACTGCATTTTACACTTTGCTTAATTTTAATTCACTTAAATTTAAATGTACACATGTGGCTTATGGTTACTGTACTAGGAAGCACAGATCTAGAGAAAGAGACATAGGGAGAGCATTCTGCAGTTACACAGAGGGTAAAGAGGTCCAGTGGAAATATAACATGGACCACGTATGTAAATTAAAATTTTCTTATAGCAACGTTAAATAAGGTAAAAAGGAACAAGTGAAATTAATTGCAATAAGAAATTTTGTTTAACCCAATACATCGAAATGATATTTCAACATAGAGTTGGTATAAAATTATTAATGATATATTTGACGTTCTTTATTCATACTCAGGCTTTGAAATCCAATGTGTATCTTATAAAGCATTTCAACTCAGACCAGCCATATTTCCAGTGCTTAACACCACATATGGTTAAGTGGCTATAGTATTAGACAGGGCGGGTGTACATCCAGTGCCAAATCAAGTTCTAAAGAGAGCTGACTTCGAGCTAGAGTGAACTCGAAAAGACTCTGATCTAGTGTAAGACAGCTCTAGCCCAGCACTGCCCAACAGAACTTCATATGATGATGGAAGTGCTCTGTATCTGCACATTCAATATGGTAGCCACTAGTCACCTATGACTGTCAAGCACTTGAAATGTGGCTAGTGGGACTGAGGAACTGAATTTTTACTTTAACCTAATTTCAATTAATTTAAATATAAATAGCCACCTGTGACCAGTGGCTACTGCACTGAACAGTGCGTATCTATATAGTCATGTCTTCAAAGTTTCTCTTTAAATCAATTTTCAACCATTGCTTTACTTTATCTCATTAAAAATGACGGTGAAATAGAAAATCATGGGCGTGATATGCTAGCTTTGACTTGTGACCTTCGAGAAAGAGTAGATTCACATACCCCCATCGCATATCCCCTCAGGAATGTTGAACAGTGCATATCTATATAGGAATTACCTTTTCTCCCTGTCTTAAATCTGACCAACTCCATAGGGCTGAACTTGTAAAACTAATAGTTAAGTAGAATGCCATTCCACTGTGCCACATTCTACGGAACTGAAATGGACATTATACAATTGACAATTGACACGGTTATACTTCATTACTTAAGGTAACACTGGCTCAAAGGACAAAAAAGAGATGCTTCATCTTTTCCCATTTTCTTTCCTGGGCTCAGAGAATCAAAGGCTCTAGCAAGCAAATACGGGCATCGGGCATCTCCAAGCCCTGTCTCTTCCTCGGTCCCTTTCACTGGCTAAGACAAAAGAGGGTGGATAAACACCTTTGTACCCCAGCACTCAGATTCAGTATTAGAAAAAATCTGAGAT